TTAGTGTTTCCTGTCACATCTCTGTTGAATTCCGGCATTCTCCCTTGGAAAATGTATTTGAAATATGACTGTTTGTATACTACTTTGGTTCTTCTAAGTAGAGGAAGTAGGCATTAAATGCTTCTAGTCAGCCATTTTGAAGCCCCTTCTCTTGATCTTTTATTTTTAAAAACAGACATCCTTTTTCTCCAGGAATTTCTCTCTCTAGGATAAATATGACTACTATATTGATCATTTTTCACCTAATTCCGTATACACAGATGTCAAGATTAGAAGACACACCCATAAATTCCTGACATGTTATATAATCGCCATAATTCATGTAACTTGTCTCCTACTTGTAGAAATACTGTTTCTGCTTATAGAAATATTGTTTCTAATATTTTCTCTTATAAACAATACTGCAATGAATATTCTTGTGCACCTATCTTTTCACGCTTACGTGACTAGGTTATATTCTGATGAATAAATCTAGAATATATACATGGGGTTAAGTTGCTGAATCAAATGGTATATGCGTTTTTGTTTTTTTTTTTTTTTTTGAGACATCGTCCTACTATGTCACTTAGGCTTGTCTCCAATTCCTGGGCTCACGTGATCCTCCTGCCTCAGTGTCCCACGTAGCTGGCACTACAGGTACTTGCCACCATGCCCAGCTTTTAAATCCTGAATTTTTTATTGTTATTATTATTATTACCACTAGTATTACCAGTATTTCATAGAGGCATAGTCTCATTTTGTTGTCCAGGCTAGTCTCAAACTCCTGGACTCAAGCTATCCCCTTCCCTCAACTTCCCAAGTAGCTGGGACTACAGGCATGTGCCACCTGTAAAGCCATGTGCCTGGCTTTAAAATCCTAAATTTTTATTTATTATTATTTTATTTTGTAGAGACTGGTTCTCACTATGTTGCCCAGGCTGGTTTCAAACTCCTGGCCTCAAGCAATCCTTCCACCTCAGACTCCAAAGAAGCTAGTATTACAGGCACCACTGCACCCAGCTTAGTATATACATTTTTAATGTTGCTAGATATTGCTGGATTTCCCTCCGTGTTACCAAGTAACCCTCCCACTAGCAATGTTTGAGAGAATATTTCCTTATATTCTCAATAACAATGTATTGTCAAACATTTCTTTATTGATAAATTGAGTAGTTAAAATAGTATTTCATAGTTTAAATTTATATTTTAAATTGAAGCATCTCTTCATGTTTTAAACTGAGCATTTCTTCATGTTTTATGTTTTATGTTTGTTTCGAGACAGTCTTGCTCTGTTGCCCAGGCTGGAGTGCAGTGGTGCAATCTCAGTTCACTGCAACCTCCACTTTCTGAGTCCAAGCAATTCACATGTCTCAGCCCCCCAGGAAGCTGGGATTACAAGCATGCACCACACGCCTGGCTAATTTTTGTATTGTTAGTAAAGAGAGGGTTTTGCCATGTTGGCCAGGCTGGTCTTAAACTCCTGGCCTCAAGCAATTCACTGTCCTCAGCCTCCCAAAGTGCTGGGATTATAGGCGTGAGCCACTGTGTCTGGCCATCTTTTCATGTATTAAATAGCCATTTGTATTCTCTTTTCTGTAACTTTCTATTAATATTCTTTACTCATCTGTATTAGTGTGAAAGGGATGCTATAACAGAATACCCCAGAATAGATGGCTTAAACAACAGAAATTTATTTCTCACAATTCTGGAGACTAGAAATCCAAGTTCAAGGTGTTGGCAGGTTTGGTTTTCCCTAGAACCTCTCTCTTCAGCTTGTAGTTGGCCACCTTTTCACTGTGCCCCCAGTCATTCCTTTGTCTGTGTTGTCCATGTCCTAATCTCTTCTTATAAGCACATCAGTCATATTGTATTAAGGTTCACCCTAACAATTCCATTTTAACTTAATTACCTCTTTAGATACCCTGTCTCCAAATACAGTCACATTCTGAGGTACTCGGGATTAGAACTTCTACATATGAATGTTGTCGGGGGACAGAATTCAGCCCTAACATTCTACCCTCTGGCCTCTCAAAATTCATGTCCTTCTCACATGCAAAATACATTCACCCCATTCCAACAACACCAGAAGTTTTAACCCATTCCAGCATCAACTCTAAGTCCAAAATCCATCCAAATATTATTTAAATCGGGTATGGGTGAGACTTGCGATAGGATTCATCCTGAGGCAAAATTATTCTTCAGTTGTGAACCTGCGAAACCAGACAAGTTATCTGCCTCCAAAATTCAATGGTAGAACAGGCATGGAATAGACATTGCCATTCCAAAAGAGAGACATTGGGAAGAAGAAAAAAGTCACAGGTCCCAAACAAGTCCAAAACCTAACAGGGTAAATTCTATTAGATGTTAAGGCTCAAGCATAATCCTCTTTGGCTCAATGCTCTATCCTCTGGGCCCACTGGAATAGCAGCCCCACCTCCTTGGCCCTGGGTGGCAATTCTGCCCGCTGGAATCAAGGAGGAAACCACCTCACCCTACCCAAGGCTTATGCCCTCTAGGCCAATGGTGGCAGTGGCATCTCTGCCTACTTCTGAACTGCCTGTGGGGTCACTGTTCCCTTTTCTTGAAGGATAACACATGTTTGCAGCTGTATGAGCTATATTGACTTGTTTCATAAAAGCCCAGAAGCCTGACACACTCCTTCATTTGTCCTGTCTCTGTCCTTTACAGTCCACACTTGCAGCAATTTTGCCGAGGTGGTCCAATCTCATAACTTCTCTAGCAAACATTGCCAAGCCACAATCTTTGTGTTCTCTCCAGACACACTTTCTCATTTTTCACAATATGAATAGGCTGAAATTTTTTCAAAGCTTTAAATTCTGGCTCCATCTTGCTTGACAGTTCCTTATTTAACCTCTCTCTCTCCTCTCACATTTTATATAAGCAGCAAGGAGAAACCAGGCAGTGCCTTCAACTCTTTGATTAGAAATCTCCACAGCTAAGTACCCAAATTTATCACTTAAACATTCTGCTTTCTGCAAAACACTAGAAAACAACGTGGCCAAGTTCTTTGCCACTTTATAACAAGTATACCCTTTCCTCCAGTTTCCAGTAACATATTTCTAATTTCTGTCTGAGACCTCACCAGCAATATGTTTAATATTTATATTTTTACCAACATTCTGCTCATGATGACATATGTATATCTCTAAGGAAATAGCAGCTTTCCCTGCAGTGTTCCTATTTTCCTTCTGAGTGCTCACCCGAATTCTCGTTAACATTCATATTTCTACCCAGAGTCTCTTGAAGATAATCTAGGATTTTTCTAGCACATACCTCAAAATTCTTCCAATCTCTACCCATCAGCCCGTTCCAAAGCCATTTCACATTTTTATATTGTTAGAGCTTCATCCCACTTCTGGTATCAAAATCTGTATTAGTTTGCTAGGGCTTCCATAACAAAATACCACAGACTGACTAGCTTAAACAACAGAAATGTGTTCCACATTTCCCCAGAACACAATTCTGGAGGCCAATGAAGGTATCAGCAGGCTTGGTTTCTTCTAAGGCCTCTCTCCTTGGCTCCTAGATGGCCACCTTCTCTCTATGTCCTCACATGGGTGTCCCTCTGTCTGTATTGTCTACGCTGTAATCTCCCCTTCTTAAAAGGACACCACTCATATCTGACTAGGGCCCACCCTAACGGCCTCATTTTAACTTAATTACTTCTATCTCCAAATATAATTCCATCTTCAAATGCAGTCACATTCTGAGGTGCTGGAGGTTAAGACTTTAATATCTAAACTTTGCAGAGACACAGTTTAGCTCATAACACCATCTTTCTCTCAGGTAGTTTGATCGTTTTCATTGATTTGTATGGTATTCTGTATCTGTTAAGGAAATGGAATTCTATGCAGTTAATAAAATTAGAATGAATCAACATGTGTTGACATACGACATACAATAATTTCCAAGATATACTGTTAATTTTTAAGGTCCAAAACAGTGTGTAAAGTATGCATATATCTGTCTATATCTAGAATATCTCTGGAAAGATCAATAAGAAACCCATAACAGTAATTGCCTTCAGGAATAGTAATTCTTGGGGAGAGTAAATAAATGGCTGGAGGCTAGAAAGCTTACTTTTTCATTATGTACCTTTTGTATTTTCTCAATTTTTTTATATGTATTACCTATTCGAAGAAGAAATATTGGGCCAGGTGCAGTGGCTTATGCCTGTAATCCCAGCACTTTGGGAGGCCAAGACAGACAGATCACCTGAGGCCAGGACTTTGAGACTAGCCTGGCCAACATGGAAGAAACCCCGCCTCTACTAAAAATACCAAAAAAAATTAGCCGGGTGTGGTGTTGTGTGCCTGTAATCCCAGCTACTCAGGAGGCTGAGGCAGGAGAATTGCTTGAACCCGGAAGGCAGAGGTTGCAGTGAGCAGTGATCGCGTCACTGCACTCCAGCCTGGGTAACAGAGTGAGACTCTGTCTCAAAAAGAAAGAAAGAAAGAAAGAAATATAGCTTAATGAAACATTCACACATGTGCACATACATGGTGAACAGTGGAGATGGAGCAAAAGGAAAGGAGAAGACAAGGAAGAAGAGCTAGAAGCACAATTCTAAATTCAGACCAAAAGACACGGGCAACTCAAATTCTAGAGGCACAGTTCCCCACTCCATAGTGTTTGGGGCTGGGCCGTTCACCTATTTATTCATCGAACATTCCTGAGTATTTTTCATAAGGCAGGTGCGTGTTAGATGTTCAGACACAGAAATCAGCCCTGTCGTCAAAGAGTTCTTATACTGGTCTGGGAGAAAGAGAAGTAATCAGACTATTAGTCATGCTGAGTCATGGTGATAACACCTGTAGAGGATGTTATGGGAGCACAGAGGAGAGGCCGTCAACCCAGCCTGCAGAGAAGATGTCCCTGCGACTGGTATTGCTGGCCTCTCTCTGCTGCCCCCAACTCCACTATTATCACTCCTTTCTTCTTTCAGTGCTTTTCTGCTGGCAAAGGGAACTGAGCATCTTCCCATGCTGTTGTCTCTGCAGAACAGCTGCAGGAGCCCGAAGTCACCATGAAGTCTGTGAAGGCGTCTGAGAACTTCTCCTGTAACATCACTCTAATGTGCTCCGTGAAGGGAGCAGAGAAAAGTGTTCTGTACAGCTGGACCCCAAGGGACCCCCATGCTTCTGAGTCCAATGGAGGCTCCGTTCTTACCATCTCCTGAATGCCCTGTGAGCCAGACCTGCCATACACCTGCATAGCCCAGAACCTCGTCAGCCAGACCAGCTCCCACCCTGTCCATGTTGGGCAGTTCTGTACAGGTACCTGGCTCCAATTTGGCCCTTGAGGGAAATCCAGAAACAATGTGAGCAACTGTGGAGTCTAAACCCTAGGGTTCTGGTCGGACACACAGCGGGTGGGGAAGCAAGAGGATAGGCCCCAAAACCCCTTATTCTCTACTCTCAGGGGCCTGAGAGAGGCTGGCAGGACTTGGAAAGCCCAGAACACTGTGATACTCTAAGGTTAGAGCAAGGGAGGAGAAGACAATATGGATACAGGAGTCCTGATGGGTCTTTGCTTGGGTGGAGGTGTTTCCGGGTACCCTCAGAAGGGCAGAGAAGGGGAATGAGAGTCCAAGTATTCAGTGGGCAGAGCCCGGTGGAACGGGTGGTCATGAGGAAGTAGCAGGCATGCCCCTCAGAGGAGGAGGCCAGGAGGAAGAGGAGGGGGAGGAGGGACTTCAGTCCCCTCAGTCCCCTTTAGAATGCCTGGAGGCCAAGCGAGTAGGGACAGTGACTGAAGCTGCAATGTCTCATCTCTGACCCCAGATTCAGGAGCCTCCAGAGGAGGAAAAACAGGGGAGACTGTGGTAGGGGTCCTGGGAGAGCCAGTCACCCTGCCACTGGCACTCCCAGCCTGCCGGCACACAGAGAAGGTTGTCTGGTTGTTTAACACATCCGTCATCAGCAAAGAGAGGGATGAAGCAGCAACGGCAGATCCACTCATTAAATCCAGGGATCCTTACAAGAACACGGTGTGGGTCTCCAGTCAGGACTGCTCCCTGAAGATCAGTCAGCTGAAGATAGAGGACGCCGGCCCCTACCATGCCTACGTGTGCTCAGAGGCCTCCAGAGTCACCAGCATGACACATGTCACCCTGCTCATCTACCGTGAGTCTCTGGGCAGGGCACCCGTCATTAGATTCCTTCTCTGAAAGCTTTCTCCTCTGCTGCCTTCTCCACCTCCCCCTTCTCCAAGGGTCTTCCCTCAGACTGAAATGCCTCAGACCACTAGGACAGCTGTTCAGTTCACACCAGTTGATTCACAGGAGGGAAACTCATGACTAGCTGCTGTACAAGTCTACCTGCCAAAGTGCCCCTGGTTCTAGGCTGCCAGTTAGGCCTCTACCACCCAACTTTAGGTGCTTGCCGTGGTCCTTCTGCATTGAGTCTCAGAAGGGACTAGGAGGCCAGGTGCGGTAGCTCACACCTGTAATCCCAGTATTTTGGGAGGCTGAAGCAAGTGGATCACCTGATGTCAGGAATTTGAGATTAGCCTGGCCAACATGGTGAAACCCCGTCTCTACTAAAAATACAAAAATTAGCAGGGTGCGGTGGTGGGCACCTGTAATCCCAGCTACTCCGGAGGCTGAGGCAAGAAAATCGCTCGAACCCCAAGGGGCAGAGGTTGCAGTGAGCTGAGATCATGCCACTTCACTCCAGCCTGGGAGAAAGATCGAGACTCTGTCTAAAAAGAAAAAAAAAGGAGAGGGGGGGACTGGGAACTCACCAACCTGCATTTTTTTATTTTTGAGATGAAGTCATGCTCCGTCTCAAAAATAAAGTCAGTCACCCAGGCTGGAGTACAGTGGCACGATCTCAGCTCACTCCAACCTCTGACTTCCAGGTTTAAGGGATTCTCCTGCCTTAGCCTCCTGAGTAGCTGGGAGTACAGGCACACACCACCACACCCAGCTACTTTTTGTACTTTTAGTACAGATGGGTTTTTGCCATGTTGGCCAGGCAATTCTCGAACTCCTGACCTCAGGTGATCCACCTGCCTCAGTCTCCCAAAGTGCTGGGATTACAGGCATGAGTCATGGCGCCTGGCCCCAACCTGCATTTGTATAAACTATTATCATTTTTAATAAGGCCAGAGTTGGCTGGGGTGAAATCAGAGAAGACTGAGGAGAAGCCCTTGATGTCCAAAGACACTGTGGCCTCCAAGAAGGTGGGCCACTCAGCTCCCCTGGACATGTGGAACAGAATTTGCATTCTACCTCCTCAGCCTTGGGCCTCACAGGAGCTTGGCTTGGCAATTTGCATGGTTTATGTTTACCTGTTCCTTCACCTGTGCCATTCAGACATGGTCAGCATACCCCCTGCCTGAGTTTGTCAGTGTCTAGGTACCTGTGAAGAGTCACCATCATGGTTTTGTTAAAATATGCAGCAAGTCGGCCAAGTCCATGCCTATTGCCCACAGTGCCTCAAATATAAAGAAACCCACAAGGTTAAGTAAAAATAAGAATAAACAGGAAACAAATAGAGTCAATCTTATTGTTTCTTTTAAAGTTGCTAACATTTATTGAGCGTTTACTCTGTCAGGTACAGCGCTCGCCTCTCTGCTTCCCTTGTCTTACATCAGTAAGCAAATCAGCCTCAAAGGCAAGCCTTGAAGGGTCTTTACAGCACATGGAAGTGTTGCGCTCATCCGTGTTGATTGGTTTGCTTGCTTTCACAGCTGTAACTAACTGTATAGAATGAGGTTGTATCTTTCTTTCTTCACTTTTCCTCATTTCCCTTTTTTCTCACCTGAGCATCAAGAGGTAAAGAGGTGTGTCTGAGATGTCACAAGTAGGGAGGAAAATGCCAGGTGTACTCCAAAATTCCTGTGGCTCCTGGAGGCACTCTGCCGGCAGTATCAACACTTGGCTTCATGAATATATTTTTAACGAATGAAGACAGATGACTGCCCAGGGGGCAGGCCTGATTCCACATGGAGTCTGCCTCTCTCCTCACAGGGAGGCTGGTGAAGCCCAAAATCACGTGGCACCTCCGGCACAGCAAGGATGGCATCTGCAGGGTCAGCCTGACCTGCTCTGTGAAGGATGGGGGAAACGCTGTCATGTACACATGGACCCCACTGCAGAAGGGAGCTGTTGTGTCCCAAGGGGAATCACACCTCAACGTCTCATGGAGAAGTGGTGAAAATCACCCCAACCTCACATGCATAGCCAGCAACCCTGTCAGCAACAGTTCCCACCAGTTTCTTTCTGAGAACATCTGTTCAGGTTTCTCTCCATCTCTATTTACTCAGGCCACGGGGCCTCGGGGCCTCAGATCCAAGAGTTTGCATCCTGACTGATTCTTTATGAAGTGCAGTGGGAGGCTGTGGGTGAGAGCTCTTTAGAGTGGCATGCTTCCACAGATATGTGAGAGCCAAGCATGTGATTTTAATGTTCTAATAGCCATGTTAGAAAAAGCAAGAAGAAATAAAGTTATCTTAATAATATATTTCATTTAACTGAATATATCCAAAATATCATGATTTCAATGTGTATTCAATACAAAAAAAAATTCATTAGACACTACATTTTATTTTGTACTAAGTCTTTGAGAGCCAGTATGTATTTTACACTTACAGCACATCTCTATTCCAATGCTAAATTTTCACTGAATGTGTTTAATCTATATTCAGACTTTGTAAAATTACAGTTGAAAAAATAGATTTATGCACCCAAGTTATTCCAAGCACACTTATCAGTTTTTCAAGAAGGAATTGAGTAGCCATTTTTAAATTAAAACTAAAACTAAACAAAAGAAGCAGTTTGGTGTCTCAGTAATCCTAGCCACATTTCAAGGGCTTATGCATAGCTTGTGGCTACCATATTGAACAGCACAGAGTTAGAGGCTTGTAGAGAAAATCTGATATGAAGCTGATGTGGAAAGGGATGTGGACCACCCAGGAACAAAGGCTGTGTGAGTGGGAGCTAGAAAAGGAGTCCCAGTGGCCCTTACTAAATGCCAAGCCCTTACTAAATGAAGGCCCTTACTAGGCCTTCATGCATTTTTGCACAATCTTCGCAACAATCCTACAGAGTAGATACTCTCATTTTTCCCCATTATACGGATAAAGAAACTGAGGCTCAGAAAAGATAAGGGACTTGCCCAAGGTCACACCGTAAAAACTGGATTTGAACCCTAAGCTGTATCTTCTGCTCTTCCATAGAAGGAAGTAGAAAAAAGGTACGGTCTACCCAGGATCTGACAATGTTGGGTCAGATTGTGTCTGGCAGACAGATCTAGAGTCCAGCTTAACAGGAATCTGGAAGTCTCCTCATATCATTTACAGAGGGGCAGTGTAACGTGGCGATTAAGGGCGCTGTAGGATCTGCACTCGAACCTTAGGTCAGACACTTGAAACTCTGTGACACTGGGCAAGCCATAAACCTCTCTACCCAGGGACTGTCTGCCTCAGGTACTGCTATAACTTCTTGCCTAGAATAATGCTTGCTTGAAAACCATTGCACTCCAACCTGGGCAAAAAGAGTGAAACTTTGTCTCAAAAAAAAAAAAAAAAGACATATATTCACATGGCATACAGTTAAAAGTAGCTCTCTTTCCAAATTCCAATCTCCAGGTTCTAAGTCCCTCCCCCAACAGACAACCACTGCTGAGATTTCTACAGACCTGAATCCTTTCAGAAACTTTTAATTCATTTGCAGGTTTCATACATATTTGTGTGGGGAGGGTGTTCCTTTAACTTCACACATGGGAGCAATCTATAACACTTTTCTAAACCTTGCTTTTTGATCTTACCAGTACATCCCAGCAATATTAACATTTGTAGATTAAAACTGACTCCCATTTATTCTATTCTACACATTTGTTTAACTAATTTACTTTGCCAGTACTTATTAACAGTCATTCTCATTCCTTGTTACTTCTTTCCTAAAATATGCTAATAGTTTCCTTACAGACTATTCCCTCTCATCACTTTGCCAAGCTCAACTGACTTCTCTAAAACCTTCAATAGCTCCTAGTGGCCTTTGTCTGTTCAAAAGGCAATATAACCAAGTGGTCAGGTGTATGGGTTCTGAGGTAGGACAATCCTGTGCTCAAACCCTAGCTCTTCTCCTTATGAATCCCTTAGCCTCAGTTTTCTTACCTTCCAAAATGAAGGTGTCTACCTATTTTCACTCAGTATTGAGCAAAAGAGAAAGAGGAGTCAGCAGGGAGGGGGCAGGATTGAGCAGCGGTTAAGAAGAGCATCAGGGACAAGACTACTTGTGTTCAAATCCTGGCCCTACCACTTACTCAGGCAAATACTTAATCTTTATGTGCTCGAGTTTCCTCATCTACAAAAAATAAACACGGATAGTTATTGTTTATGCTTCATGGGGTTTTATGCAGACTAAATAAACTTATTCATGAAAAGCATTTAGAACAGTGCCTCGCACATAGTAGGCACTTACTAAAAAAATATAAGCATCAGGTCAAATCAAAGGGGCTATGTTGTCTGAGATATAAACCCAGGGTTTGTCCTCACGTGCCAGGAAAGTTTAGGACACAGACACACACGAGGAGTTTAGAAGTGGAGGTTTAATAAGTAGAAGAGAAGAAAAAGAGAAACAGCTTCCTCTATGGAGGAATGGGTCCCAGGGTGGGGACCGGCTGCTGGTGAATGTGCCAAGTTCTATAGTCCAGTTTGAGGAGGTGGCGTCTGATTTACGTAGGGCTCACAGATTGGTTTGATAAGGTATGACGTTTACATAGTGCCTGGGGAAGGCTGCTTCCCCCACCCTAATCTTCTTATGCAAATAGATTTTCCAGTTGATCGCCACCATCTTATATGCTCCTTACAATACCGGTGGCTGGCAGAGAAGGGAAGATGGAGCCGCCATTTTGAAAATGTCTAGTCCTTAGTCCCTGCTGGCATTCACCCATGCAAGCTCCCAGCTTGCAGGCTGCTCTTTGTTGGAAAATGATTTGGGGCTGCTTTTCAATAGAAAGAAAAGCCTTACCAAGGACTCCCATACCCTTACTATCTGCCTAAGTAATTTCTTCTTAACTCCTACATCAAAATGGGCTACTTCACGTGCCCCACAGGCAGGGTTGACATCCACCCAGTGTGCCGTGACAGCATTCACAGCATATCCACCCAGTGGGCCACACCAGCCCTCACAGCGTGTCCACCATGCCAGTGTTCACAGGTGCCCATGCTGATTGCCTAAGCCCTGACCATTGCAATTGTTAAGTATTTTTAATATCACCCTTTTGGAAAAGGAGACTGCTCCAGGCTTTACACCTGCCTCTAATCATGCTGCTCCCTCCACCACCTAGAATACCCTTCCACTCATCGAAATATTGAATCCCTATTCAAGACCCACCTCAATTCTGCCACCTTCATGAGTTCCTCTCTGCTTCTCTAACCAGAGTCATCTCCTCTCAACTCTGCACTTTCCTCATATGTTTCGTGGAATACTTGGCAAAGCTGGCCTTACATTACTGGTTTACACATGCACGCGACTCCCCAGCTAGACAGGGTGCTCCTCCAGGACCAGGTCCAGTTTACCTTTGTGTTTCCCCAGAGTACCTGTCATGATGCTTGGCATGGTGTATCCCACAGGGCCAGAGAGTTGCTAAAGTCTATCACATGTCATATTTAATATTTATCAAATGAATGAATAAATGAATGCTTGAAAGGAGGAAGGGAGAGTGGAATGGACTCCCTGAGGGAAGACAGGAAAAAAACAATCTCCCTCAGTTTTCTAGGCCTCATCCAATGCAAGCTTTAGAGCAGGCTGGGGCCTTGCAGCAAAGCAAGAGAGAGGTGGGGTTGGCATACTTTTATCAGCCCTGCACAAGGTGTTCCAGAACCCACAGCTGGCCACATGCTATACTCTGTGCTCTCTCAAAAGTGTGAGAAGCTGGACACTCCCCTCAGGCCTGCCAGGCAACGGCCTAGGCCCGCCTCAGACAGCAGCTCTGACAGCAACATCACAACTGAGGAGGATGCGGACAGGCCCGAGGTGCACAAGCCCATCAATGGAAGAGACGAGGTGTATGACCAGGTCACTCAGGAGGGTGCTGGACATGACCCAGCCCCTAAGGGCCAAGCAGACTATGATCCTGTCACTCCATATGTCACAGAAGTTGAGTCTGTGGTTGGAGAGAACACCATGTATGCACAAGTGTTCTTCAACTTACAGGTGAGCCCTTCTGATCAATACACCTTCCTCCTCTCCCACATCTAGCAGCATCTGAGATCCTGGTTGACTAGTTCCTCCAAACTGGGGACTGGGGCCTGGAAACAGGACTAGGGGCATATGGGCAGGGACTCATGGCTGTGTCCATGTTTACCCAACCTTGGGATCCTGTGGAAGGAGGGACTTCTCCCTCAGCTCTCATTCTTGGGCCACTAAAAAGGGAGGTGTTGGAGAAGCAGAGGCACCGTCCCCACTGCACTAAGGCAGCTCCCACCCTCTGTGTGAGATGGGAAGCTGGGGGGTATCCCCTCTCCTCAAGGGTTGAGGGTAAAACTGAAAAGTTCTTATGTGGGGTCACTAGGGCTCATCTGGTGTTGGTCTGTTACAGGGAAAGACCCCAGTTTCTCAGATGGAAGAGAGCTCGGCCACAATTACTGCTCCATACAGAAACCTCAGACGGTGAGAACAACTTTCTCTGTATCCCAAGGCCCACAGAATGAGGAACTATTCCTAGACCCTTTGAACTGAAAATCCTAGATTCCCACGGCTAAGGATCTTAAATTCTACCTACTATGCACCCCTCAGATACATTCCATGGTCAACAGAAATGTGTAAACAAACATTCCTGATATCTGTATGACCAAAGGCTGAACATTTCTAATGGATTTAATAATATCTTATGTTGGTTATTTTTAACACTGACCTGAATGACAGCTTATAAACTCAAACAAGGTAGGGTCTTTATAGTTTTCTAAATCTATCTCCAACCCTAATCCTAATCTACCTAAATGGCAGCTTCTCAAAATCATTGAAAATTAGCTCACAATTTAAGAACAAGAATTTTTGGAAAATATGCCACTACCTACAGTACATTAGTTTTATTCTAGTGTTTAAAAAAATCCCAGCTGGATGCCGTGGCTCAAACCTGTAATCCCAGCACTTTGGGAGGCCAAGGCGGGTGGATCATGAGGTCAGGAGATCGAGAGTCATCCTGGCTAACATGGTGAAACTCCATCTCTACTAAAAATACAAAAAAATTAGCCAGGCTTGGGGGCGGGTCCCTGTAGTCCCAACTACTCGGAGGCTGAGGCAGAAGAATGGCGTGAACCCGGGAGGCAGAGCTTGCAGTGAGCCAAGATCACGCCACTGCACTCCAGCCTCGGCAACAGAGCGAGACTCCATCTCA